GAAGATGGGGTGGTATGGAGAGAGGTAGTACTGTTGGGAGGAGGACAATATGGCAAACAATAAGGGTGAATAGTATTAAAGTGATTGGGGGTAGGCAATGAAGAAAACTGTGCAGTAGGAGATGGAGTGGAGGATGTTGAGAAAGAGGAAAGGGTGTATTCTGAGGGTTAAGTAATGACCTGAGTGGATGATTTGGAATGGACGAAGATGACAGCAAACATCGAGGAGGGGTTATCAGTGGTTAGAGCCGTGGTGAGAGGAGAGGACGGGGTGAAATCAAATCAATGAAATCAAATTTAAATAAGCTAGTTGATGAAGAGACAAGCCTAAATGCCCCTACTAAGGTTAAATCATCTTCATTATTGGCCTTGGTGAGCCTGAAGTAAATGAGGAGACAAAAAGGTCTACCCCTGAGGGTAAAAATGAACAAAAAATGGGGAAAATGCTGTGCTCATTTTTTATACTTTTTGTGAAATGTTTCTACACATAGATGGCTCTGCCTTAACTGATTTCATTTGGCGGGAAACTAGTGCTATGAATACTGATGGTTATTTTTATTATAATTATAATTACTATAATGTTATAAACATTAGTAACAGCAAAATAAGATAACGTAAAATATTTTTGTAAATTGAAGAAAAGGGCAAACGGGCGAGACAGGCAGTACTCGCAACAAGTGTAGCCATCTATGTGTAAAAACAATTAAACAAGTAAACTCACAGTGGGCATGTCACGTATATGTGACACCCAGTGCGAATGGGTTAACCAAGGGAATACTGTGTCCATGGCTATGGAAGCCGTTCATGACTGACACAAAGCCAGCCTCTCATCCTTTCAGCACGGCTCTCACACATTAGGAAGTGGACAGAAGAAGGGGGATGATAAAGAGAAGGAAAAGGAAAGGGGGAGAAGAAATGACCATGCAAACTTAGTTGAGGCATGGGCTGAGGTGCAAGGCAGGGGTGATCCCCGCATTGGGCCCCAGTCCCTGTCTCCTAAGCCCTCCATGACAACAATGAGCAAGGGATTGTGGAGGGGAATGGGATCAGGTATCCATCCAAGAGGCAGTCAGTCCAGATTCACTTCTGCGAATGTATCAAAGACACTGAAGCAAACCAATCCTATAATTATATGTTACCTTATCAAAGAAGTGTCTTATTCATTTCCATCAAATGTGGAGTTTCACCACGAATAACTTTGAGAGGATTATGAAGCAGCAGGAAAAGGAAACAGGTAAATTAAACAACAAACTGTAGAAGGAAATTATTGCAGGTTAAGAAAGATGGGAAACATGAGAAAGAGAAGGTTTATGAAAGACAGATTAACAAAAAGAGTGAGAATGACAAGTAATATTGGTCCTCATAAGGCAATACAAATGAATAATCCATCAATTATCAAGGTTGACTATCTTCAACTACAAATATTTTTTAGCAAGATTGAGCTTGGTTTGGTTCCCTCTGGGAAAAGTTCAATTGGTTTTCTCTACACTCAAGCCCCAAGCACTCTCCAGCCACCCTGCAACTGCAGCAAGGGCCTCCACACATCAGCCAAAGTATACCCATGGATTGAGTACACAGCAACATGGGGCACAAGGACTCTTTACCTTATTTTGCCTAATTTTGCGTATTGTGGCTTTTAACTTTGTGGAGAAATAAAAAAACTAAAATGGTCATGCGTTAAAGCATGGAAAAAAATTCCTTCACTAGCTTTAATTAAGCCTGCTCCTTCACTAGCTTAATTATAGCTAGTGCAGGAACAAGTACTGGAGGATGGTCGCAAATTTTACAGATTTTGAACATGGAGTGTTGTTTTTATTAAGAGTTGCTGCATCTAATGAAATCTGAAAATTGAGAAAAAGATACTCGGCTGAGAAAGGCAATTCCTGCAGACCATAGCTTCCCATTAATACTTAGTATCTAACAAGAGGTTAATGCTGAAAAAAATTATAATTTTTCATCTTTTGCACATGTTGTTTCTATGTTTCTATGATGTCTTATTATTTGTAAATAAAACCAAAAAAAGATTTAGAGTTATTTTTTTATCTCAAGAATATTTATACTTTGGTACAAAATACTGGCAAATACAAAAAACAGCAACTAGTACAATGTGCAATGAAACAAATACTTTAAGAATCTTACATTTGCTAGTTCTTGTGACTAATAGAAGTCCCCAAATTTCTGTAAACTTATTAACTGATTATTTGCCTGTGTGTAAAACTTCATTATTCCTTTTATTGTAATTATAATGTCAATGATGATATTATTAGTTCTTTTTGTTCCAAGTACTGTGGCAGGAGAATGGCTCTGTAGCATTAGAAAAACTTGTAGGCAGAAAGTTTATACTGATTTTATTATTTAATTGCTGTAGTTATATTACTGACATTTTGAAATCAAAGTATGTAGTCATTTACAGTAAGTCCCCAATTTAAGAACATAATGCAGACCGAGAGGCTGTTTGTAAGTTGATTTGTTTGTATGTCGAAAGTCGGGTCTCCGTTACCTTTTTTCCCATTGTTTTAAAGTTTTGTTTACATTAAGAATACCTGTAAATAAATCCCAATGAGTATGACATACCTTATACAGTACCAGACTCTTGAACTATATTCGTGCCAGGGAAATTTGAAGTTTGCTAGCATCTTTCAAACAATTTTTTGGACTTCAGTACTTAAAAAAATTTGTTTGTATGTATGGAATGTTCTTAAGTAGGGGACTATCTGTATATATTCCTTTTATATAAATGTCCACCATAAATGCACATTATAGCAGTTTTATATACACACACACATACACACACACACACACACACACACACACACACACACACACACACACACACACACACACACACACACACACACATACACAAAAAGCCTTATCACATCAGGTTCTACCATGTCAGGTTATTTCCTTTCAACAAAGGAAAAATCAATAAAATACAAGATAAAAAATACCCCTGTCATGCTTTAGCAATATAAAATTTTGGTAAGCCACCATTCATCACTAATTGCCATTTTGCACAATTATGGCAATGTAGTATCAACCTAGAATAATCTGATTCAATGTACAAAAAAGACAAGATAAAAAAGGAACTCTGTAATACTTTTGCAAGGTAAAATTCTCTTTAATCCATTATTATAAGGGAAGTATGCTAGAGAGAAATGGCATTATACCAATCTTTGAGACTAGCATAGTGCCAAAAGACTGAAGACTTGTGGATGCCCATCTGGGTGACTCATATTCAGCAGGCTAAAGCAATGCATGGTTAAGATAACAAAATTCTGCTGGGAGCTGAAACATTCATTTTAATCACCAGAACTGCTTCCAAATAGCCAACGACTTTCCCTCCAGTGAGGAGGAGGAGAAAGGAGGAGGAAGAGCAACTTCTTGCAACATTGGATAGCAGTGGCTGTGTATGCTCACTACCCTCAGTCAGTGACAGAAGCCATAACTGTACACCTATGTAAGAGAAATTTCTTTGAAAATCAAACCCTGTTAGCTATGGAGACTAAAATTCATAACACATGAAAGTTTAATCCACTAAAAACCTATACTTTGAGAATATTATCTGCAATATATATGTTCAATAAAAAAAATAATTTCCATAATCTAGAATAATTTCTCCCCCATAATGTCAACAGGATGAATGTTCCTTGCAAATATCCTTGTAGCTTCATGTCTCACTAGATTGCTTCTCTGAGCGAATGTATTCCTACAAATGCACAAATATAAATCTTGTATGCTCTATGCACTCATATTATTTTTTCCCCAGGTGACTGTCTAATAGTTCTACTTTAAATGTACTTGTAAGTGACTTACTAGATTATTTTTGGATGGGAATGACTCCTGGCAATCCTTACAGCCCTGTGGATTCACCTTTGTATGTAATCCCTTGTGCCTTACAAGAATAATTTTTGCTGAGAAGGTCTTACTGCAAACATCACACCTGTGGGGCTTCTCCTTTGTATGTACTCGCGTATGTTTCACTAGATTACTTCTCAGTGAGAAGGCTTTACTACAAATCTCACAGGTATATGGCCTTTCCTTTGTGTGTACGCGCTTGTGTTTTACTAGATTATTTTTCATTGAGAAAGCTTTCTCACAAATATCACAGATATATGGCTTCTCCTCTGTATGTACTCTCATGTGCCCTACAAGAATACTTTTCTGTATGAAGGCCTTGCTGCAAATCTCACAGATATAGGGCTTCTCCTTTGTATGTACTCTTATATGCCTCACAAGAATATTTTTCTGCGAGAAGGCCTTGTTGCAAATCTCACAGCTATAGGGCTTCTCCTTTGTGTGGACTCTAATATGGTACATCAGGTGACTTTTCAGTGAGAAGGCCTTATTGCAAATCTCACAGATAAATGGCCTCTCCTTTGTATGAACTTTCATGTGCCTTTCTAGATTAATTTTTTGCGAGAAGGCCTTGCTGCAAATCTCACAGATATATGGCTTCTCCTTTGTGTGTACTCTCATGTGAATCAAAAGATTACTATTACCAATGAATTTCTTGTCACACACTTCACAGGCAATGCGTTTCCTTTTTTCAATTGCTTTTCGATGAGTAACCTCATGACTTTCCTCATGTGTTGCCTTATCACCAACAGACAAGCAATTGTTGCCATATTCTTCAACAACAAATGGTGCTGTTGATTTTTTTTCATTTGCTTCATGTTTGACATTTTGAACATCCTCAAAGAAAGGAATTTCGTACTTCATTTTTGCCTTAATCTCTTCATCCCTTGACTCATCAACATAATCAAGTGGTTCTTCCTTTATTTCTACAGAGTTCTCCTCAGTGATGTCTTCAGTGACCTCTTCTTTGATACTGATTCCTGCGTCAGGTATCCCTCCGTCCATGAGTGGAGCTGAAGGCATCCAGTTGGAGGGGAAATTCATCACTGCTCTCTGAAAGAAAAGAGACAGCATATCAACACTGCTAATGATGAGAATATAAAAGTCATATAGGATTAGATAATGTTTAAAACAACTAAAATT